CATCACAAGCTACTAAAGTGAGGCAAATGCAGCAGCAGAATACACAGAAGGTCACTGCTAAGACATTAAACACTAGTATGATTTTCAGTCAGGCTTATCTGTCATTCACACACCCTCGCATCTTCCCTAATGTAAGCTTAGCACAGGAGCAGCTCTTTCAGAGYGTAAGTCACACAGTGACTTAAATCCCATTATCTTCATGAGGGTTTGGATCTCTGTCTGCCTTCAAGAGCAAGGGGACTCCCTCTGGACTGTGTTTTGTGGTATACCTAGCTGAATCAAAGTTTCTGGTAAGGGATGTGAAGTGCCCCGCTGCTGACATATTCCAGATGGCAATCTGGTTGCATTTGTCTTTTGCCTACGGGATTTTAAGAACCCTTCTGAACCAAAACAAGTGTCCACTGATTCTTGACAGAGGCAGCGGATGTGAAGCAGCAGTCACCGCTCTAAACTGCTGCCAATAAATCAGAAAATCATCATGCTTACAATATCTATCATAGTGAATATCTATCCAGAAACCCAGAGGTACCTTTCCTCCTCGTGGGGCTCACATTGTATGATGAATTCAAGGGATGGTGGAAACATGAAGAAGAAATTTAGATGGTACCATTCTATGCACTGCTACATGTGAAAGGATTTGCATCATTCATCCACAGGCTGACATTAGGAAAAGTCARTATTTAAGGCAGGTATCCCAACTTTATATCATCCAGTTCTTGCCATTTCTCTCATTCATGGCAATAAAAGCAGCATATCAAAAGGGCTCTGTGCAGCATCGTATTTAGAGCTACTGTGTGTTCTGTATAGCCACAATTTCACCACATTCTGGTCTGCAGAATGTTGCTTTCTGCAGTAAGAAATCTCTCTCTTATCAAACACATCATGATTCAACCTCTGGTAAACTGCCCTTACCTTCCACAGGCTTTCCTCTTTTCTTTTTCCTAAGAAAATGTCTCAGACCCTTGGCCCTCAAAACACCCAGTAACAGAATGACACCCAGAAAGGCTTCATGAAGTTCATTGTCTTCTATTTCAATCCAGTTTCCCTACTTGTCCAAGCCAGCAGTAGAAGAGGAAATGATAGTGTAGTACAACATGGGAGTCAGGTATTCATAGACACTTTGCTTTCACATAAACTTAGGAAGAAACAAGCAATGCACAGTGGAAGGCATAAACTCCTTCAGGACCCATTTTGTATCTTCCACTCCCTGCTTTTTCCTGGGAAATCATACACATTGGTCATGACGGCAGCAGACCAGCTCTGGCAAAGAGCCCTTCTAACATAAAACATAGTCATGAAATCACTCTGATTGTATTGATTTAATGAACTGTCATAGGAACAGCAAAGTGACCAATCACCCTGGCTACACACCTCTGTCAAYATCTGGTGGTGTAGCAAGGTCAGAGGTACAAAATACCCCCTTGCTGTTACTCCTGCGAAAGAAGCTGCAATTTTAAACCTTTAGATTTCCTCTTTCTGCTTTCTTCTTCTTGTCTTACACAGCTAACCAGCATTGTGACTTCTCCATGGCTTCTGTCRCTGTCAGACAGTAAATAGTGTGACTTCCACATAGGAGGTTGAAAGCTCAGAATTGCATTAAAAAAAATTTTWAAAAAATGCTACAGAAGCAAATTGGCCAAATAACCTAGTATCTTGTACCGCTTTTCTGGACCACAGTTCCCACTGCTAATGAAAGGGTCAAGGATTTTGCCATGAAGAGGCCAGGGATTTAAAAAGACACATTTCAAGCTGGTCAACCTCCAGGCAGAAACTCTGCTGCCAACACTAGCAGCAAAATCCCAGAGCTGGCAGTAGAGCTGAGGATGACCTTCCACTGCACACAAACAGCAGGCTTCTGCAGAACCTCTTTAACAAGACAGGGAAAGGACACGTTCTACTTCAGTAATGCAATAACCTGTCAAACTCATTTCACGAATCTAAATAACAATAATCTGGAAGTCACAYAGATTTCCAAACAGAGAAACCACATAATTGCCATTGCTTGCCTGGTAACTTGGCTCACCTACCTTTCAAAACACCTCATTGCCTTCTTTTCCTGTGGGCAAAGCTTCATTGAAAAACAAATCTGATMGTTCTGTCCCATTAGAGACAAAGGTAATATCTTCAAAGTTTGCTTCACAAATGGCAAAATTCCCGCAGAAGCATAAGGTTGATGCTGCCACTAATTATCAGAGAGTGAAAACWCCTCTTCCTCTGTAAGGTGACTGAGGAGGTAGGAGAACAATGACATTTTTCTTTCAGTGCCTCATCTGATCACTTCCTATGACCAAACCTGGTCCCAAACTCCTTGTGTGCTTCAGAACCCTGCACAGCCCTGTCCAACAGGGAAAGGTCAAAAGCACCCACCTGCAAACAGTTTTCAAACCCAGGCTCTTTGCTATCACAAGTTCTGCTTAAGCCTCATTTGGGGGCTGTACACTGGGAAGAAAAAATTACATACCCGTTATGAAAATTACATACCCATTACGGTCTGTCAAGGACACCCAGCTGGCCATCAGCTTTTGTGAAATGTCACCAGCTGAGATAGCGAAAGGTTAAACTTAAGCTATCTTAGCTGTAGGTGCTCTGCAAGCAGTGTCTATAGCAGGTCTGATTCTCTGTAAATTAGAGGGGACTTTACTGGCAAAATTGCAGCATTTTTTTCTTTCTTTCAGGGGTACCAWAAGAGATTTTGAGAATGGGATAAGAACTTCTGCACCATTCAAATAATCCTGGCAAACAGACAAATTAATTCAGAGGTGTTCTGGGAAAAGCTATATTAAACTAAAATCAGAGCCATGAATTACACACAATTGCCTCCCAGAAAATGAGGATGATAATTACAATTACCAGCAGATCAGACCAGCTATCCTAGCCAAAGCAAGCCTATCAATCACTAAAGGTTTGGTGCTTTGCTCAGTTTGAGTATCTTTGCAGATACAATTCACAGATTCATAGATTATTCTGAGTTGGAAGGGACCCAGAAGGATCATTTAGTCCAACTTTTAAACAAATCTCACTTTGGTTATCAGAACTGGCAGACAAAAAGGGGTTCTGGCCCCAAAACTGTAGTCCTTGGCTTGCTGTGCCAGTGCGACCAGCTTGGATGATTTGCATCAGCTTGGACTTTAACTCCAGGGAGAAAAAAATGTCCAAAACCACATTTATTTTCCATATTATATTTGCACTTGGAGATCTTGTTTTATCTTGTTGAAACTATTTCTAATTTTAAAATAGGACTCCACTTAATGAATTAGCATTTCCTGGATTTTACCACTCTGCAGAGACATCTCCTTTATTGAGTAAGTGGGTAAGTTCCAGACACATTAAGTCATCTGGCAGAAGAGCTGGTGCCCTGAGCTGCATCTTGACAGACATCAGGAGCTCAGACTTCACAAAAAGATGCCTTTTATTTTACCTTCTCAGAACAGTGCAGACCCTTACCCTGGCATGCAATAGGATCTTAGAACGCAGGTCTGCCCAGGGTGAACGTTGTTAAGCACAGGCAGACACTGCTTCCAAGWCGTGTGAAGTCACCAAGCTGCAGACATGCATCTCAGATGTTATTCCTTTGCGGCAGCCCTCCTCCCCCTGCCTTTAACTGCAGTCTCTGAGCAGCTATTCCCCTTTACTGGATTCACGGATCTCCAGCTGTAGTGGAGTTTGCAGGTACGTTAGTTCATTTCTGTGCAAGCACCCTTATTCATACTACAGGRAGCAGTGCAAAACCTGCACATCTTAACACTAATTCTCCCTCAAAACAAGCACTGAAGGGTGAAATGAGACATAGCACTGCTACCACACAAACTRTTACCTTCTCATGCAGATGTCTTACTACCTTGCTATGTTGTGCAACCAAATTAATCATTTTTTTTCTCAAATTTGAACTCCCTATTCAAAATACYACAGCTAAAACTTGGTTTTCTTGCTCTGTTCTTAACTGTGACAATTTGGCTCCCCTAGTGAAAAACACCCACCACTTTCAGCAATGAAAGAAACGTTGCACCCGTGCCATGGGAGAGAGTCCTGCAGTAAATGTTGAAGTTGTGTATGACATCAATATCACCACACATTTACATTTACACAGTCCCATGACTCTACAGTTTCTTCAAAGAAAAAAGCATGAAAAATGCTCACATGAGACAATGCACAAGAGAGAATGATCAACTTCCTCTGAGGCCAATATTTCAGCTCCTAACAGCACCAGCATTGCCTAAGTAACAACAATGCTTAGACCAAGTGTTCAGGTCAAGCAGCCGAGAAAGCAACTGCGGCAGAAAGAAGGAACCTCATTACCGAATATTTGTGTGTTATTTTCATTTTCTTSTACACACTTCCCTACTTTTTCTATTTTCCACCACTAGAGTAAAAGAATTCTTCACACATGTAAGCTAATACACAGGAACACATAGAAGGCTGGTCTCAAATCAGGTAGGGTGTGTAGGAATATGCTATTACCATTTCCCTCCTTATTGTGACAGTGTTCTTACTGAAAATAACCCTCAAAATATTAAGGACAAAAATTTCTGCACTGGCCGTTTTTTCAGGATTTTGCCAATCTTTGGGGCAAAGAAGAAAGAGGGCTCACACACATAGATAAAATGMCACTCTTTCTTTGGGTTCACTCTGCCTAAACCAGCCTGCGTCCTTTAGAATCCTGCCTCACTGGCATGGCATGAAGCAAGTCAAGACCTGCACACCGCACAGCGGGATATGCAGCCCGTTGGTAGGGTGCCAATTAGGCATGACCCAGGGCCAGCACACCTTGTGGGGGAGGACTCTTCTCTGACATGGGGCTTTGGTCTCTGCTTGTTGCTGCCCTCTCCTGCTCAGACTCTTCAAACACTCCGCTCTGGGATCACAAATCAGCGACAGCTCCTCCAGGTCCTCAAAAAAACATTCCACCTGCAGACCCTACCATAGTAGAGAATCCTCTCCCTTGTCAGGTGCAAAGGAGGGGATAGGAAGGATTCAAGGCCCCTCATGCCAACCACACTTACCTCCTAGAGCTTGTTTCATAACAAAATCCATGGTTGGTTGTTTGGGGTCCTGCCCACTTCACACTCACATGCACAGAGACCAGGAATTCTTGGAAGGCAGCCTGCAAAGAGGCACAATTAAAAGAGGAATAGTGTCTCAAGGAGAAGAAAAGGCTAATGCCTGGCCTTCCTCAGCTCTCTCCCCACAGCCTTTCTCCTTTTGTCTGAGGGCAGACAAGTTTCCAACCCTCCATCCCTTCAGAACCTGCTCKGCACAAGGCGCTCGGGCAGAGCTGCATGCTGGCGAGCGGTCAGCGGGTGGGAGGAGTCAGGGGCACACGGTGGCTTCCCCAGGCAGGGCAAGTGGCCGGGAGCAAGTGCGGAGGAGCAATGCGGTGCCCCTTCACGGTTTGTCTCCTGCAGGGCAGGAAGGGGTTAAACCTTTGAACTTTCTCGTTTCCCCGCCTGCTTTTCGCCCTCTCGGTTTTCAGAGGGTTTGCTCCGGGATGTCAGCTCCGCCCGGGACCGCCGAGGGGGCATTTGAAGGTGAAGCGCTCGGCAAGCGCCCGGGAGAACAAGCGGGGATGCCGGGCGGTCAGGRTGAGGATGCAGTGCGGGTGGCGGGATGGAAAGTGCCCCACCAGAACCCCTCGGACAGTCCCCAGCGCAATGCCAGCGCGGGCTGCCCCTCCGCAGGGTGAGCCGGGACGGCTCAAGGTTGCGACCGGCCGGCCCCAAGTGCAGCAGGGCAGCGGCTGCTGCATCCCACCCCCCGCCCGGCTCCGGCAGCGGGTCACAGCCGTGCCAGCACCTGCAGGGACGAGCGCTGTCCCTGTCCCTGCGTGCCCGCACCCCGCCTCTCCTGTGTGCCCTTCCCGGCTCGGCTCGGCTCGGCCCCGCTACCTCGCTCGGCGACAGGCGCTGTGGTGACACGGGCCGGGCCGGGGCAGGTGGCTGCGGCAGGTGGCGGCTGCTGCGGCTCCTCTCCTGTCGCACGGGCTCCGGCCGGCGCCCGTGTGCCCGAGGGCTGCCGGGGAAGTTGCGGGTGCGGAGCGGGGGAGAAGGGATGAGTCCAGAGCTTCTCCCTACTTTTCCCCCCGCGCCCCTCTTTTTATCACAGCATTTCCGGACCATCCCACCGACACGGTCCCTCCTTCCTCCTCCCCTCGTTGCGGGAGCTGGACTCTCTCCCTCCCCCTGCCTCCGGCTCCCCCGCCCCTTCCCTGCACCGCCCTCGCCCCTCGGTGCTAGTCGCCGAGCAGGCCCCCAGCGCTCCCCAAACCCCTCGGAGGGGTGCGTGTGTCTGCATGCGTGTCCCCCACCCCATCCCTGCTGTCTCCAGCAGCCAGGTGTCCTTGTGCTTTGTGGGGGGAAGGAGGGGTGGCTCTCAGTCCGCTATTGCATTTTGCGATTGCTTCCTCGCCTCTCCCCGGGATTCAGTGTGTGTGCCAGGGGAAATCTTTGCAAACACGGCTTCCTGCAAAAGGGGGAGGGTGTGGGAGAGCGTTCTGCATCCTCTGTTCTCAGTCCTTTCCGGAGATTCCCCTCTCGTTCCCTAGGTCCTGGAACGAGTTGGAGAGGCAAGGAAGAAGATAGGAAGGGAGCAGACCCTTTCTCCTCCCTCCTGTTTCGCCTCGGATTAACTGTGACCGGAGAAGAGCCGCCGGCTGCTCGTCTCTGTGCTCTCGCTATCCAGGTGGGGGGGCGAGGGCGGGGGGAGCGGGATGGGGAAAAAGAGGAAAGTCGTCTCCCTGCGATTGCCGCTGAAGGACGCGAGCGCTGCGATCCTTTGTCCAGCCCGGATTCGGGACGGCGTCTGAAGGTGAGAAGGAAAGAGCTCTGTGCGGTGCGAGCGCTGCGAGGGAAAGCAGGGCGATACCCCCTTCACTGCACCGGCGCCCACCTTTAGGGATGCCGACAGCCGGCTTGGAGCTGGGTGGGGAGGAGACGAGTTCTGCCGCTGATCCGCCCTTTTGTCGCCAACAGGGGAGGTGGGACAGCAACCCCCAAAGTAACCTATATGGGTCTGAAAGGAGGGAGGGGGCTAGGACGGAATGCTGCCGGCAGCAGCGGGAGCCCGGTGATGGGAAGCAGCGGCTCCTCCTGGGGAGGCGCTGGAACGGCCCGCGGGCGACCTCGTCTGAAGGTCAGGAAGGACAGCGGGGCCGCACCTGGCACCGCGCGGCATGCGGATCCAGCAGGCRTGACAAAACAATCCCTCCCGGGGCAGTGATGCCGACCATAGGGGCTCCGCAGTCTGCAAAGCTCTCGGATGCCAGCTGCAGATGCGGGAGCGCAGGTCTACATGCGGGAATGCGAGCTTCTACACTCAGGAGAGTGCCCACGACCTGGGTCTGCCTCGGTGCACCATGCCTGTCAGTTTTCCAAAAGCATTTGGATAATGCCCCTTACAGCATGCCTTAATTTTCAATCATCCTGAAGCGATCAGATAAATGGACTAGATTGTCTTTGTAGGTCCGTTCTACGGAACTGTTCTGTTCTATTCTATTGTATAGGCTCCCAGAAACCCTTTTGCAGCRGACACACTAGCTAGTGTTAGACTAAGAAACTCACCTAGGTAAGCATGTGCTGCACTTTTACTAACAAGTTTCAAAAAGGAAAGAATTATAGTGAGGCAGAGTGGAATATATCTTGTTTCAAGCTTTAACTCACCCCCCAGAACTTACAATTCAAAGGTCATAATGCAGTATTTTTGCTGATTTTTCATACACAACATAGAAGTGTATCAGCATAGATTATTATGCTCAAGAAATGGACCTATGAGACTGCTGGTGCTGTGTGCTCAGGTGCCTGTGCAATTAACGCAGTATTTCCAGATCTGTGTTGCCTCCCCAAGTGCCTGTATGACTTTGAGCAGGGTTTACAGTTTGGGTCTGCCATAAAACACCTCACATCCCTTTTTCATCATATTTGWATGACAGTGTCCCCACCCTGCACTACTAAACCTGTGTATGCACACCTTGCTCTTGTATCCTGGAGTTTGGGAAGGAACAATTCAAATAACCATGAACAGAAGGATCAGGAAAGTGTGAGCTAGTAATTRGAACACCCAACTGCCTAAAATCAACTTTCTTTTCGTGTATTGGGRATCCTGTAACTACTGTAGCAGCCGAGGGTCAGCACAGCCAAGTGGGGTTGCTGAGAAATGTCATTGTTCCTGTTTATGGGCTCCTTATAACCTTTGGGATAGCCAATGTCCTCTCTTGTGTGCAGAGAATAAGTGATGTCATCCGCAGGGGCTTTCAGAAGCCAGACAAAACAAGAGGGACATCAAGAAATYCCTGAGAAGTTCTCGAGCTTCTTGCTGACCTGTTTAGAGCTTCTGGTCTGTTTCCAGAGCCAGCTGACTCTCCAGAGGTCACGTACCCACGGTTCTGTTCCCCAAACACACCCACTTTTCCAGATTATACAGCTGACACAGAATATCATGACACACGAGACAGTAAAACAYAGATCTTAGTACCTACTATTTCACAGTTCCCTTCTCTTCAGGAGAGCAAGGCATCATCAAATCACAAATTCCACTGAGATGCTCCTAGTCCCTGATTCAGCATTTCTCCCCTGCCACGAATATCAGCTTCTAAATAACTCCCACAGGATGGACCTCCCAGATCAAAATCCAATAGCTTGTGAGCCTGATTTGGGTGCCTCCTGTCCTGGTAATACTCTGACTACTCAGTCAGGAAAGTTCCCACCAGTATTTTCCTCACCCCATGAGGATGGGACACAGAGGCAAGAAAGGACACAGTCAAAAAGAGGTGATGTTGTCTATAGATCTGTGTCTATTCATAGTCTCAGAAAGGCTTCTGGAGAAGGCTTTTACATTGGAGACTGAACCTTYCCTCAACCTGCAGAGAAACCCAGCTGGGAAGATGGACTCGGGGGGTCTTACCTGCCATACAGTTTGTCTGCTGTAAGAGAAGTAACAGCTCCTGCAGCCGTGGTAATGATACGAGCAGACCCACATGCATCTTCTTTYTAATAAATAACAATATATTAGATTCATAATAATTTATGAGTATGAATTTGGCAGTAATGCATTTTTATCGCATATGCTAGACAGCAGCATATCTCAGAAACAGCAGCGTTTTCTCGCGGGGATAGAGATTGGCATCAGTGCATGGGATATATCCCAGCACCATGGACAGAGGAAAACTGCCGCCCGTACAGAGGCTGCTCTGACTTCTTCAAAACTTCCCTAATTACCAAAGCCCATTGTTAGTCTGGTTTGCACCGGGCAGCTGGGATGTGCCTTCTCCTGATTGTGGGAAGAGGCTTGTTCTTCCTTACGGAACCAGAATAGTACAAATCCATCTTGTGACCTCACTGGTGAAGATGAAGCATACAGAAAACTGAGCAAAGGTCTCCTCCGTGGAGTTTTGCCCATGGAACTCAGACTTCCTTGGCCACCAGCTGGGCATCTCAGTTTATTGATATCCATGTAAGAAGTGGAATAAGCCAATAATTCTATTTGGTGGCATTTTCCTTAGGGGAAAAAAGAAAAAAATATATATTTGGATCTCCAAAAAGAAGGAAAGGTCTGTTTTCAGAAGAAAAAAAAATTAAATTAGTCAGGATGTTTCATTTCAACATCCTTAAATGCAATGTTTGATTATTCAATTCCATATGGTGTATGACTACTTAGTTGAAACCAATGCTGTGTGAAAATGATATTAATAAGAAAGCTCACAAAGAAAGTGAAGTGTGAAGGTTATAGAAAATACTTAAGCAGCTGCCCAAAATGAACAGACTTTGTTTCTTTTTCCCTTTCTTTTTCTTTTCCCCCTGTCTTATTCTGAGTTCTCACCATTGTAAGTGCTGCACTGTTCAGTGSATTGCAGGCAAGGTCTGCACAGGAGCAAGATGATTAGCTTTTTATCAATACAGCTACGGAGAGAGAGGATTCAGGCACTTGCTAAGGGTAGTTTGTGTACATCAGTTGCAATCCCTTCAGTGGTTTAGTTCACTGAACACAAATCTACTGTATGTTTCATTTTCTCTTCTACTGTCAATTCCAACTGTCAAAACACTTCAGAATTCAAGCATTTTTTGCCTCCTCGAAAGTATTGCTTTGTTTCTTGTTGTTCAATTCAAGTTACATCAGGCTTTAAGTAAGCTCTTTATTTTCCAACCAAATAGAAAATAAAACAACGTAATGTTCTTTTGGAGAAGTGTGTTTCCCTTAAGCCAAAACTATAAAAGGACTTTTCAGCCATTTCTTAGAGCTCTGAAGCTCTGGTCCCTTGAGATCTCTTGAAGATGATTTTTCTAGCTGAGCATTTCTTTCAGCTTCACAAGACCAAATTTTAGCTGTCTGTCCTCAGAAAAACTGAAATACACACAAATTGATTGTTCTTTCTCGATGACATGCAAGCACAAGAATGCAATTTCTATGTTGTTTTTTTTAAATGAACACAGATGCCCCAGTCTAGTTTGTGAACAAGCCCCTTGGTAGGCTGCCATTTACAGCTTCTAGCTCCTAAGCTGAAAACTTGTTTTATGCTCTATGCTTTCTACTCCTCTAGTTCCCTTAACTCCATTCCTCTCTTTGTTTCCTGTTCTCTGAACAAGCTCTTGCCTTATCAGTCTAATTAAGAGTCCCATCTCAGCAGGGCTCTGATTCCTGTGGACAGGCATGATCAGGTAAATATCCAGGAGTTCTTATCTCCAGGATTTACAGTTTTACATTGCAAGGTTTCTTTGGCAGACAAAGGTTGTCCATAAAGCCAAGAATCCATCTTCATCACTGCAGTGATTAAATAGTGATATTTCTATCCAAAGCAAAACATTTTTTRTCATGAGATTATTATTTCAAGTACTTTTGGCAGGAATTTTTTCATCAATGAGTAAGTCATCCAAACCAGAGCATTCATGACGTGRTGTGTCAGTTTATATGGGAGTTCAGAGGCAAATAAGGAAAAAATGTTTTACCGGTTTGTATTTGATGTTATTGAGWTATTCTGTTTTGATGTA